ATGTATTTTTAAAATTGGGGAGCAAATATTTAAGGCTTTTAATGAATACAGTGAATATATGTGTCAGTGGTACCTGCTCCCTGGCTCCATCAACTCCTGACATTTGACCCCATATGCTTATTTTTAAGAAGTACATTGACTGTACTCTTGTGTACTTCTTCCAAACCTAGCCCAAGTTTTTCTTTTTTTGGAACAACTCCCACCTTGAATTTGAGTTTATCGTTCTTATTTTTGTTCATATATGTCCACAACCCGTGCATGTAGCTACGAGATATTACCATTATGTTGTTTTTAAACTATCACACTCTACATTTCTAACCTGAACTTGTGTTTCCACTCAATGTTTTATCTTTGAGATTTATCTTAGTAGAACTGTCATGAATGGTCCCTCCAAATGAATTTCTTGCAGTTTGTTTGTTGGGTTGATGGGTACTTGAGTTGTTTACTCATTTTTTTTTTTTTTGTTCTGCTGTTCTTTTTTTATGTTGTGTGTTACGGTGGATATTCATTACTGACAAACAAGAGCTTCTGGTATTTACTCCCAGAAATAATATTTTTAGATTGTAAGATATGCATTCTTTTAGTGCTCCTGGGTATTGACAATTTATTCTCTGAAATGGTTATTTCAATAGACACGTTTCAGCAAAATGTGAGTGCTCCTCCCATTTTTCCACTTAATTGTCACTACTTGATGATATCAGGGTATTTCATTTTCACCAGCTTGATACATACAAAATGATGCCTCATTGTTTTAATGTTCAACTTTCTGATTGGCCGTGAAATTGATGGACATCTTTTTATGCGATGCTATTGGTCATTAAGGTTTCCTCTGTTATTTATTTATATCTTTTACACATATTTCATTGGTGATTTTTATTACTGCTTTTTAACATTCTTGGTGACTATTTGCATTACAAATATTTTCTCCTGGTTTACATTTTGTCTCTTCACACTGCCGGGGGTGTCTCTTGTTTAAATTTTCACATAGTCAGATTTACAGCCTTCTCCTTCAGGGATACCCTTAGTGTCATTATTTCTTGAATTTTCTTTAACTCTTTCACACACACACAAAGGTAATTCTTCAGTAAGAGGTGCTCTGTGAATGACTATCGCCTTTAGCGTTGCTAGAATTCACCTTTCTGAGATACCACATCTATCATTTTAATTTATAGATGCATTCTATATGCTCAGGAAAAATGACTTTTCTGCCTGTGCTATCAATTAAAGTTGCTAAACAGATGCTAAAACAAGCCATTCCCACCCTTCACACCCCCAGTAGACGTTGTTTTAAATTAGCATATCCACGTATTCATGTTCAACGATTATTTCTGGGAACTCTGGTATGTGCCTGGGCCTGGTTCTGACCTTTCAAACCTCCTCTACTGGAATCGGCCTGTGTGCACACTGCCGCCCCAAGGCTGCGTATGTGTGCGTACGTCTACGTGGCACTTTTCGCAGGTATGGGAGAGCTCATGAGCTTTTCCAGGGCACGCAGCGGCGAGGATGGAGTAGCTATCTCAAGCCTGGGCTGTCTGCTCCAAGGCCGTAGGTTAGATCGCAATTCTGCCCAACATTCCTCTCATTGTTTTTACTTATATTGTCAACACTTGTTTCATTTCTTGTTGTGAGAAAATACATTTTTCCCCCTTGATTCAATTTTGAGCCCTTGAGAGTTAATATGCATATTTTCAATGTTGTCTAAAGTACTGGCTGTTGAAATTTGTCTTTAATTTTTAAGACTAAGTTCTTAGCCTTAAAATGAATGAAAAACTCCCATTGCTACCACTTCCTCTTTATTCTGTTTCTCTTGTGTTTGTAACTTTGGTCATCTGTGCCTTCATGGTTGATTTGATGTTTTCATCTTTACTGGGAGCTTCTTTATACCCCCACCTCCATCACTTTGGCTTCAAAAAACCTTATATATGATACTAACTTTACCAGCTGTTATCTTTTTGTTATATGCATTTCCTCAATAGACATATTTTATTTAGTGTTTCTGTAGTTTTTCTTACAGATACCTTTTAAAAATTATTGTTATTATTATTATTATAATATTATGATGATGATGATGATGCCATATTGGGAACTGAGCCCAGGACTTTTGTGGTGAGCCATACCCCCAGCCCTTTTAAAATTTTTTGTTTTGAGACAGGATCTCACTAAGTTGAACCTGTGTTCATCCTGCCTCAGCCTTCCAGAGTTCTGGGATTACAGGAGTGTGCCACCTTGCCTGACTGGGTCTCATATTTTAATCCAATATGAGAATTTGTCTTTTGGAAGGTGAAGTGTCCTAAATACCCAGACTCCTTGTGGGGGCAGGTATGTTATGACCCAAAGTGGTTCTTAGCCATTGGCTGTGAACTTTCTACAAGTCACTCAGTTACTTTGGGAAAGGATCAACTTTTTTCTCATTGGTAAGATCATGTAACAAGCACATCAGCCTCACAGAGTTTTTGTGAGGGGTAAAGGAAGTCAAGAACACTCAGGAATGGAAGCAAATTAAAGTAATTATTTGTGAAATATAACTGTCATTACTTGCTATTACAGACACCATGTCTGGAATATTAAAAAAGGTTTCTTGGTAATAGCATATAAAGCAAGCACTGTGCTCCAAATAGGGGGAACCAGCTCTATGTATAACCATGTCTCAAACTTCTCTTTGAGATGACAGGCATAACTTACACAAAGGCTGGTAGGAAGCAGGGTCTCCGGCCTCAGGTCAGTGGGTCCCTGTCGCCTCTGGCTCAGCTTCCTCACTTGGCCTGGTTCAGGGGCTTCAGGAATCCCGGCTGTGACCTCAAGGTGCAGCTTACAGATATGAAGTTTGCGCTCGTGTTGGCCGCTACGGCTGCAAGCTGAGTTGTTCCCAGCACTCCACACCAGGCGTGCAAAAAACGGAAACCCAGTAAAGCAAACCAAGCAGTCTACTTCCTGGATGGTGTAACTTGCTGGTCTGTGGACGGGAACCAGAGAGGAGGACTTGCGCCTGCCCTGCTCCGGCTGAGCTCAACTGGAACCATGGTGTCTGAGCAGCCTGAGGAGAAGTCCAGCTGTCTGCTTGTCCACCTCCCCTCCTTGGGGTCAGAGCGTGAGAGGAGACCTGCAGGAGCTGGAGGTTTCAGTTTGAGCCCGTTTTTAACTTTTCAAAAATGTTCCTGGTATTTCAGAATCTAGATAACCTTCAATCACACAATGCTATGTTACCGAGCCGAGAAATGACCAGTCTATAATATTGCAATTGGATGACCTCCAGAAGGCATGATTTATTCTCAGTTGTAGTTGCATCATATCTCCAGTGGCTTCTGTCCTGTCACTCAGAAGAAGGGACGAGTTCAGTTCCCCCCGACACAGTATAGCGGTCTCCTTGGACATTTGGATAATCATCACTGTCTGGACTCTTGCTGAACAGAGTATTTCTGGGTCCCTTTCCAGAGGTTCTGGCCCCCTGGGCCGGGTGTAGGGTGGGGCCTCGGGTCTATGTTCTGGACCTTTTGTTCACGAGCTGTGTGGCTTTTATACAAATTATTTAACCTTGCTCATCTGGAAAAAAAAGTGGAGATAACAACATCTTTCTCAAAAATATTATTGAGAGGATCAGAATAACTCTAGCTCTTTCCTGGCTGGAACCATGGCGGGTGTCAAAGAGAAGAAAAAGAAGGTTCCTGCTGTGCCAGAAACCCGTAAGAAGAAGTGAAGACGTTTTGAAGAGCTGAAGTAAAACGCCTGAGAAAGAAGTTTGCCCCAAAGATGCTCCGAAAGGCCGGGAGGAAGCTCCTCTGTGAAGGAGCCAGGCGCTGTCAGAAGGAGTACAGACAGATGTACAGGACTGAGATTCAAAGGGCAAGGATGGCAAGAAAAGATGGCAACCTCTATGTACCCCAGAACTCAAATTGGCATTTGTCATCTGGATCAGGGGTGTGAATGGTGTGAGCCCAAAGGTTCGCAAGGTGTTGCAGCTTTTTCACCTTTGTCAAATCTTAATGGTACCTTTGTTATGCTCAACAAGGCTTCCATTAACATGCTGAGAATTGTGAAACCATATTGGGTTAATAATATCCCGTAGTTACTGTGGGCTGATCAGGTCTGCAATCTCCCGAATGAGTGTATAGTGAAGGCTAAATAAGAAGAAGCAAATAGGATGATTTCAGAGCTCCAGGAGGATCAGAGCCCTCTCACAGAACTCAAGATTCTCTCAGGGCTAAGACCAAGACCTTCTCTGAGTGGCCTGTATTTATTTAGTTATCAGAAGAAGGGAGGGGAGTACTAAAGAAGGGTGGAATCACTCAAGGATTTCTCCAAGTAAGGTATTAAATTGATCCATCCAGGAGTGAGATGTCTGAGGCTACAGTCTTTATCCAGTTGAGATTGGACCCAGGTGTCCTTGGCTGTGACCTTGTCTTATCCTTTGAGGCTTTCCAGCTTCATCCACCATTACAGGCCTTACTAGGGATTAGTGACTCACAGGGGTTCACTTACTATAAGTCTGCCGCCCACTTCCAGACAAGCAGCCTACGCTTTGGATTTCAGAGCTCCAGGGTTCACAAGTAAACATAAAAAGCCAATTGGTTAATTGAAGTCCTGTTCAGGACTGCTTCATAGTGGTCTCCATCAGAACCATCTACTGCATGGGGGTACCCAAACCTGAAGTCAGTAAATGAACTAATATATAAGTGTGGCTATGGCAAAATCAGTAAGAAATGAATTGCCTTGACAGATAACTCATTGACTGCTTGATCTCTTGGTAGATATGGCCTCATCTTCATGGAGGATCTGATTCATGAGATCTGTGCTGTTGGAAAATGCTTCAAAGAGGCAAATAACTTCCTGTGGCCCCTCAAATTATCACCTCCAGGCAGTAGAAGGAAGAAAAAGACCACTCATTTTGTGGAAGGTGGATATGCTAGAAGTAGGGAAGACCAGATCAACAGTCTTATTAGAAGGCTGAACTAAGGTATCTACCTGGTGTTTTTATGATTTTGTCAGTGAATAAAAGTGTCTCCAAACTGAAAAAACAAACAAACAAACAAACAAACAACTCTAAAGCTGTCCATGGCATCTACTTTCCTTTGATTCATGAAGTCACCTCTACCGGGGTTAATGTGCAGGTTATCTGTGAAATTATTTCACACAGGCATAGTGCCTCTAACTTAGTTTCCAAATTTGTTTGGCATATTTTGTAATGCTTTAACCATCTGCAGGATACTGGGGCTTCCAGAACCCACAAATCGCCTCCCTAATGGTGTGGGATGTTCACGTATCACCCCACTCCCTGGCTTTTGGAAGGACTGCGCAGGTTGCTTCCTGGACAGGAGTGCCATGTGCCTTTCCTCCCTCCCCCACCCCTCCCTTCCTTCCTCTCTTTCTCTTTCTGGTGTTGGGGATGGAACCCAGGGCCTCCCACGAGCTAGACAAGTGCTCTACCACTCAGCCACATCCCCAGACTCCTGTTTTTTTCTGAAACCAACCATGTGCATATATTTTTCTTCAATAGAAAATAAAACAGTAAAATTGCTCTGTTGGATTTTATACAGAACATGTCCTAGGTAATTTGCATGATGTAAATTTCCCTTCTTCGACCCCAAAGCCTTTTGACTTTTCTCTCTCCCATCTTAATAGTCAGAACTCAGTGGATTTCTGATGAAAGTATTTATATTTAGTCTTGACTCAAAAGGATGTAAGGCACTTTTATAGATACGAACAATGCAAGACATATTAAAAAGAAAACTAAGGTGGGAGAATCAGGAAGGGAGGTACCGTGCATTCGTACGTGAAGCTGCACACGAGTCCTACACACTCCCCAGCTGTGGGCTGGGTGCTCTGCTCTGAATGCCTGGACTGCAGCGTTCACACTGCATACCAAAGGCAAAGGCCGGCCCTTGGTTACAGGGATGATCCTCTACCGAGTCTTGAATGCAGTTTTAAATCTTCCACCAGCTCAAGACTCGAGAGCCTCATCATTAGGGTCATTAGGGACCTGCAGAAGAGTCAGGAAGTACCAAAGATGTGCTCTCCAATCTTTTTCTGAGCCAGGGTCTCAGTATGCAGTTCAGGCTGGCCTTGAGCTCACTCTGTAGCCCAGGCTGGTCTTGAACTCGCAACGATTCTCCTGCCTCAGCCTCCCTAGTGCTGGGATTACAGGCGTGTGCCAACATGCCCGGCATGCTCTCCAATCTTACTCCATAGGCCAGGGAGTAAGGGGCCCCTTGCTGCCCCTGGCAGGGGCTGGGTAGAGAAGCGGTCACCATGGTGACAGGAGCAGCTCTGTGCGTTCAGCGCTGACACCCTCTGGAGTCCCTGGGCAGGAGGACAGCCCGTCTCCCATCCGAGGAAGCCTTCTGCTGAAGGACAGTTAGGGATTTTTTACGCATAAGCACGGGGAGAAAATGAAACTTCGCTTTTATGTTAACCTTGCCGACCCGACTCCAAAGGGACATCCGCTGTGCATCCTGGCATCCCTGCCCCGGGACCCGCAGCCTGCGTCGGTAGCAGAGCCCACAGGACTTTCACCAGGAAGGCCTGGAGAGTGGCAGTTTCGAGGCCATCAGTGCCGTCTGCCTTATTAATTCCCAACATACAGGCTGGATGCAAAACAATGCCGGGCGGCCGCTCGCCTGCAGCCTGCAGCCCGCAGCCGGAGGCCTTTGATTCCCCACAGAGGCTGCGGAGCGCAGACGTGACTGATGGTTCCTGTGGACCAAGGTGACAAGAACACACGAACAAGACCCCTGGGGAGGCCAGAGACGTCAGGAGGACGGGCCTGAAAGCACTGCAGGGTAAACACAAGCTCCCACAGAAGGAAGAGCCCCAGGGGGCTCGGAGTTGGTCCTGGTGGCTAATTTGTAGTTGGTTAAGAATTTCTGTGCTATTTGTGCAAACGCAGATAAACTCCTTAGAGACGTCTGAGCTGGAATCCTAGATGTTTTGGTGGAGGGGAAAGGAAAAGTTAAATTCAGATAGATATCACACGGCAGGGAGAAATAACAGAGAGAGGCCGCAGGGCTGGGAGTCGGTTCTGGGCAGAGGAAGAGCGGTAACGAGCGTCTCTGAGGGCGCACAGCGCTTCCCACTCCTGGGCGCGGTCCGTGGAGCCCTGGGCACTGTCTTAACGAGCAAAACCCATCATGGGCACCAGGGTTGGTGGTGAGACCTGGTCTGAGAGATGCGTCTCCTCTCCCCATGTACTGTCCCGTTCCTTTTGGCTGAAACAGATAGAAACAAACATGAGAAAAACAGTCAATGAGAGGAGTCCAGCTGCATTACGCACTCTTCGATAAGAAAACCCTGGGGAATGCCCTGGGAGTCAGCATTCCTCAGCATCCCCAGGGAACAAGGCCGGACTGACTGGGTACGGGGCAGGGGAGGAGCCACAAGTTAGTGGTTCTTACACACAAGAAGTCACATCCGCCTGCTAGGTGGTGGTTTGTTGTTTACCTAAATTGGGGTTCATTGCTTAGTTTCGTGGAAAAAAGTTTAACCAAGTCAGACACTTGGTTGGCCACTCAACAGTCATCATCTCCTTCAATTTTTGCCCACAGAGCCCCAGTTTTTGTCTAAAAATCTTCATCGGTACATGATTGTACATAGATAGGGGATACAGTGTAATAATTTGGTATACAGGTAATGATCAAATTAAGGTAGTTAGCATTTTCGTCTCCTTAAACACTTTGCAGTTCTTTGTGTGTGTGTGGGGAACTTGGAATTCCTGTCTTCTAGTTCTTTGCAAAATGTATAATAAATTTCTATAAACTATAACCACTCTGCTGAGCTGTAGAGCAATATTCCTGCTACCTAACTGCTTTTGTCTCTATTATCCAGCCTCTAGCTTTCGTCCTGTCTTTCCTACTCTGTCATGAGCATCATTGTATGCCCTACCTCTATGGAATCAGCTATTTAAGCATCCACATATGAGTGAAGAATATAGTCTTTGTTTTTCTGTGCTTGGCTTATTTCACTTCAATGAGTTCTGTTGTCAGTGTTTCCACAAAAGACAGGATTTCATTCCTTTGTGGTGGCTGTACTCA